CACACGACACTCCCAGTACTCTCACAGCAACCTTCTTCTTCTCCGGCCACGTATGATCGCTCGCCGCCGCCGTCCACGACGTCGCCGGCTGGGATATCAAAAACGGCGGAGTATGTGATATCAAAGGTCGACGATCTGATGAATTGGGCTCGGCGCGGGTCCATTTGGCCCATGACATTTGGGCTGGCCTGCTGTGCCGTCGAAATGATGCACGCTGGAGCTGCGCGTTATGATTTTGATCGATTTGGTGTAATTTTCAGACCTAGCCCGAGACAGTCTGATTGTATGATTGTTGCTGGTACACTTACCAATAAAATGGCCCCTGCTCTTCGCAAGTATGTATTACTTCTAACGATTAAACCCATTTTTTCTGTTTGGCTATATTTGGATTGAAAAATTTCCTTTGGAATTTAGTTTCGGATAAGCACATTTAGGGAAATTCGATTACTGGTAATGATGTTTGTGTTTCAGTGAGATCAATCAGTTAATGGAGGATATTACGAAAGATGATAGCTCAATAGCCTTTATGATTTTTTATAGCACTAGTTATTGATTTGTTGTGTGCATTATCTTAATGTGACTAAAATGAATGAGATTCTAGGTTATGATATTGGGAACTATTCTTTTGGCGGTGTTGATGGATTTGTTTGTATATTAGTAGAAAAGTTGATGGTGGAAGAGCACTATTGCTGGATAAAATGTATATTGCATTGAGGAAAAATTAAGAGCTGCTATATAATATAACATAACATGTAGTTCGCCCAGGCTCTTTAAAGTTGTGTTTAAGAGCCCGTTTGGACATAAGAAATTTTTCTCTTTTTTCCAAAACATTTTCACTTTTTTCCGAAATCAACGTTTGCACATAAAATTTCCAATTTTCACTTGAAGATGCATTTTGGAAATTTTCGAAAATTTGAAAAACTCCAAAAAGCTTTTTTTTAAAATTTTCACTCAAATCTTTCACAAAACTTCAAAAACAACCCAAAATTATATTCATGTCAACACAATTCTAAATTTCAAATACCATTTTCACTTGAATTTTTTTTTTTACCTTTTTTTGGAATTTTACAATTCTTATGTTCCAACGCCCACCAAGTATCCACGGAAGGTTGTTGTCAAAATGTACCTAAGGATTTGTTTTCAAATGTTAACACATAAAAACTCTACAAATATTTGGATTCTCACAAAATGGGCTTAAATGGAGCGGACCTGAACTTGCTTGGTATTGAGGCATAGTTGTTTTGTGTATTTTGTCATGTTATTTAGAAGTTCTGCTGGTAGTATAGGGTGATAAAGTCAAGCATCAAAATGTGATGCTTCAAATAAGTAATGTATTTGGTACTGGATGACCAATTTCCAGATTACTCGGAGGATAAACACTCAATATAACAAAGGACAAGAAATTGCACATAAGTACCATATTGCAAACATTTTTGTGCTGGTATGATGTCTATAATCTGCTTCGCACTGGTGGTGCTTTTTAAACGATTAGCTTCAATAGCCATTAGATTTATTTTAATTCCTCTCAAGTGCTTAGATTTATTATTATCATTGTATCATATTGGTCATCATGTAGATTTGCTGTTGTGGCCTCCCTTTTTTCCTTCTTCATTTGTCTATACTGTGTCTTGATGCTGTCAAGTGTCAACATGTTACTAACTTTTGTCATGGTTTTATGATGGATATGGCATTGGCTGTGAATGTGCCATAAAACTTTGAGCTGAGGGTCTTTCGGAAACAGCCTCTCTACTCCTCTGGAGTAGGGGTAAGGTCTACGACTCTACGTACACACTACCCTCCCCAGACCCCACTTGTGGGATTCCACTGGATTGTTGTTGTTGTTGTTGTCGTCGTCGTCCTCTTAGAGCAAATCCTTTTCTAATATACATTAGCAAGTGCTGCTGCTAATTGATATTGTTATTCCTTTAAAAAGACACGATTCTGTTACTTTATCAAGCTGAAACTCTTTAGAGACCGTACCAAACTACTTGGTATGATATTTGGTATACACAATTGATAAACCGGATACCAAAGTACTGAATTGAAGTTCTTAAATACCAGAGTACCGAATGCTAACCCTTGCTTAAAAAGATCTTGAACATTTGGTTTTTCCATTTTGCGCCTTCCACTGCCCTATCATATAGGGGCCTATCATGGTATCAAGCTGATGTGATTAATTATTCTTATCAAGTAAATGGTGTGTTATTAGATGGTTCGAAATACAATTGACCATGTCGGATACTGTGAAGGATGCATTGTTTAGTTGGGCTTTTATAGGTCGGAAGAGAAGAATCCGGGTGTAGGATGTTATCAGTGTTGTCAAAGGCAAAAGCTCTGAAAAGCGCTCTAGGTCTATTGGAGCTTTAAGCGCAAAGCGCACTTAAAGAGTGGGTTTTAGTAAAAAGGTGCAATAAAAGAAAAAATAACGTAATTCAAGAACAAATTAACAATTCATTCATAATATTTTCCTTTACAGCTAATACACTTACTTTCCGATTATACTTGTTGTTTAGTGCCGCTTGACTCACAATAAAACTCATATGCAATGAGGCACATGTCTTAGTGCCTTGCCTTACACTGACTTCCCTGAACTTTTCTGAGCTTCAGGGCTTAGGTGCGCCTTGAATGAGCCTTTGACAACACTGGATGTTACTCCATTAGCACTTATGTGGATGCTATGGAGGGAAGGGAAGAGCATGATTTGTCATATGAGGAATAACCTCCAGTTTTTAATGTCCTTTTGGTGCACCCATGAGTCCTTATTTGTGTAGAAATTGGGTGTCTTACGTAGAGATCCTATCTGTCTGGAGATTCTCTATTTTTTGGGTGCCTCTTATATAGCAAGAATTTTTCCATTATCAATGAAATTTTACTTGATAAAAAGCCCCGCACGTAAACAGAGGTGTCAAAAATAATTATGCCTAGTTTTTGTGTAGTAGTAGAAAATCTCATCCACTGCATTGAGCACTCCTGTTTTGCTTGTCTGGTTTTGTATTTGCTCATTTTCTTCGTTGCTAGTTTACTTTTAGATCCTCTCAATTTAACATACTAAATATGTGCACCTATAGTCATCTGATCTAGAGATACCTAAATTTTCCAAAATTCCACTGCAGGTGCATTTTCCCTGTGTTTGGATCTTGAATCATGCATCTTATTACACTATCTAGATTTTCACTTATGCTTGTTAGCAAATCTTGCATGCTTGTCACCTAGCTGGAACTTGGTAATTCTGTACTTTGCACAATCCAATTGGTTACTAACACCTCCCTCTACCCCCAAAAGGAAAGAAAAACTCAAAGAAGTAAAAAAGGAGAATATTTGAATGTCTCCTAGTAATTATCTGCTCTAAGGTAAGGTAACCTTTTGTTTTAATGAGTCAAATATTAAGTCAATGCATTTTATTGCAGAGTCTATGATCAAATGCCCGAGCCAAGGTGGGTCATTTCTATGGGGAGCTGTGCAAATGGTGGAGGATACTACCATTACTCATATTCTGTCGTGCGAGGCTGTGACAGGATTGTCCCGGTTGACATTTATGTTCCAGGTTGCCCACCTACTGCTGAGGCCCTTCTATACGGAGTTCTTCAACTGCAGAAGAAGATTAATAGGCGCAAGGATTTCCTCATGTGGTGGACCAAATAAGATCCTTATATTTTTGTTGCCTTGGCTCTGTGTGGAAATAAACCCTTGGACAAGTACCATGCAAGGGAGATATGTTATTTTGCTTTGGGTGAACTCTCGGTCTCTCTGGACCTTATACAACTCTTTTGCATGTTATCTGACTTTAGGGGTGGCAAATGGGCTGTTTGGGCTGTATTTGGGCTTGTCATAATGGATTGACTCATTAAATGAGTCATTGCTCGTCAAAATGGCATGGCGTAGCCATTTTTACGGCTGGCTATCCAAAAATAGCCACCATCGCTAATGTAATCGATTTCTAGCCATTTTAACTTAAAATATATTAGTAAATGACATATTTACCCTTGTCCTTTTTAACATCCTGTTTAGTTACTTTTCATTTTTTATCGTTCTTCGCTTTCTTTTTAGAGCAGTGTACGGAGTTCGCTTTCGTGAGAGCACTTTCTTCGAATTTAGTCAGGGTTAGGTCCAATTTTTTTCAAATTTGTGTGGGTAAGTGTTGTTTTTACAATAATGTGTTTGAATTTTCGTTGTTATTGTTGTTTCGTTAGTTTTAAGTTTGATTTTCATACTGTTAGCGTTTAAATATTTGTGGTATTTTAACATTTACGATTTTTTTTTTCTCTATTCAGTAGTTCGTCTTGTTTCTGATAATTTTGTCACTCTGTTATTAGTTTTATGTTGTAATGTTGTAATCGTTGCGTAATTTGTTTTGATAAGTTCAAATATTTTTGTAGTCTCTGTATATTAGGGTTAATTTTCAAGTATTGTTTTGCTTCAACTACATTATAGATTGCTCGAGTTCTTGTTAAAACTTGAGATCTAGAATAATGTGCTGTAGTTCATATTTAAAAAGTTGACTTTTTTTGTAATAAATTTAGTTCTAGTATATTATTCTGTAAGTTTGACCTCTGAAGGCTTGTTGTCCAGTATTATATGCTAAATGAGTTTTATTGTATACTGGAGTTCTTTTATTTTGAAAATAATTGTTTTTACTGATAATTTTTAGTTGTTTTTTTACATGTTGTATTTGATTATGTTTTTTAAATCCAGATCAGTATTTGTTTATGGAGTTTTATTTTTGTAATACATTTAGTGCAGTATATTATACGGGAAGTTTGTCTTTTATAGGCTTGTTTCCTAGTATTTTATACTGGATGATTATTATAATATACCCGAGTTCTTTTTATTTCTGATTACTTGTGTTTAATGATTGTCACACCCCTTTTCTACCCTCCCAAAAGATAATGTGTGTGGATTGTGGGTTAAAGAGTTTTTTCAATTAAAGTGACAATTTTTGAAATAGGGATTATTTTATTTACAGAGTCGCCACTCGGAATTGATTTTTGGGTGTTTCAAGTCACCTTTTATTTGAATCCCTAGTCAAAGGAAAGTTTGACTCTATTATTATTGGTCTGCGAAAATAAAGTCCGGATAAGGAATTCTGTTGACCGAGGAGAAGGTGTAAGGCATTCCCCGAGTCTCGTTGTTCTAGCACGGTCACTTTATTGACTTAAACTTGGCTGAATATCTGAATTATTACATGTTTTAGAACCTTTTATACATTACCTCTTTTATACCGTTTTTATTATTTATGGAATTTGTTTGAACAAGTCGCGATGTCGCTCACTCGTTTGTTTTTGTGCACATTGCGAATCGCGCCACGTGAAACACACCCGCGATTTACAACATGTTTATTTTAGTTATTATTAGAAGTTGTGACCCGAATGGGATTTACGTATCGTGACCATGTCACGGGAACCGTACTCATGGTCACGATGATTTATTATTCGCGCCTAAAGCAATCTGCGAGATTCAATAGTTTAAATATTTTTTTAAGACTAGTTTGAGCTATGCTTAAAACCAACCATATTCCAAATAACGCTGGCAAAGCAAAGAAGAAAACAACTTTAAAGGCGCATCAAATCTATTGGTCTTGTTCAATAACGAAGAAAATCCATGTTAGATGAAGGACAAAAAAATTTAACTTTGGACACCATAAATGAATGGCCTAAGAACAACATTTACTTGGTAAGGGTGTAAACTGTCCAAAAAAAACATGTGCTGGGAAAAGACATAAAATCACTCCAACATTTCCTATGACAAGTATTTGGCCAGCAACTCAATTTTAATATCACTTGAAATCCCAATGGCGCAAATCTTATCTTAACGAAACAACAACTTTGTTCTTCTGTTACTAAAATTTATTTTTTGTTTAAGAATCAACTAACAAACAAAAGAGGGGAATCCAAATCATAGATATTTTAACAATTTTCAGAGCAAATAAGCAGAGTATGCAAAATTTAGAATCCAAAGCTTCCAAAACCAAAAAGCCAATCGGACATACAAGACCATATTAATACTTCCACGTTTTATTCAAGCTTGACACAAATTAGTACAAGATGAACTGCAAAATGAAGATCTAAATTTAACAATAAAAAAACGGACCTAAGTTAAGCTTGACTCGCCGAATAGGACCTCGAACGGATAACCTCGAAACTCGCCGGAAAGGTTTAAGAAAAAGAAAAAGAAAAAACTTTAGTTGTTTGTGTTTTTTTTCTCTCTCTCTTTTGCCTAATAGGACCTTAGTTGCTGCCGATTTTCTCTCTTTTCTTTGTGTGCTTTTTTTTTTTTTTTTTTTTTTTTTTTTGTGGTGTGGGGTTGTGATTATGAAGAAGAAGAAGAAGAAGAAGAAGAAGAAGAAGAAAGAGTTTTTGTGGAGGGTGCGGCTCGCTATCTCTTGAATGAGAGCATGAGACATGAAAAGATGTATGGTTTTGGGGAGGAGGAAATCTGATGGGTCATTGGCTATTGGGCTTAGGTTTAGTCCAATTTGGGTCATGACTTGACATTTGAACAAAGCAAAACTTTAGGAGAACTGGTCCAAATTAAATCTTCTTTCTTTCTTTTGTGATTTTGATTTTCTTTTATTGATTAATAGATAAAAAAGTAAAAATACTACTCCTAAACTTGAAATAGCAAGATAAAATACTAATCACTCAAAATTTACTTATCAAACTAATATATTTCATTGGAAAATATTTTTTTTCTTTGTAAATGAAGATAAAACTTATATTAAAAATGTGACTTTTTTTTATTGTTTTTAATTTTCTTAAGTAAAATATATAAAAAGAGAAATAAGAGCTAAAATATGTAGATTAAACTTAAAATATATTTGCATACTAAAAAGTGATGAAAAACTCAAATATAGTAAAAATTTAGGTGTTCACAGCTGCCCCTCTTTGCTTGGAAACATGAAGAGTTTTCAGGCAAAGATAAAGTGAGCCATGTGACTAATTTTTGACCATATCGTTATTCAAAAGAGGAAGAAAATAAAAAAAAAAGGTGCAACCGAGTCCTGATTTTGGACAACCTATATACCCCGGGTTAGAAGGGAATCAAGTCGTGTCTAGTTCAAGTAGAATGATGGAGTGATGAGTTCGAGAGTCAAGCGAGGTTCCGTCGAGGCTCCGGTCCGTGGCCCTGCTATTACATCAAAATCTAAAGAAACTAAACAAGCCTATCAGCTATGAGTTACAAGATTCCTATCTATAAATCTTCTGAAGCTTGATCTTGAGTCTTGACTGGTTGTTCATGGAGACTCTGATCTGAACCCTGATGTTTGCTAGCTGTAGGTGCTAGTTCATTCTTCTACGGCTTCTTCTGAGCAAAATGGGAAATGTGAAGCTAGTAACTTCAGTCATGTTTTGAGCAGTCCATATCCTTTCTATCTGCTTCTGCATTTGGATTCACTTCTTTTCCTTTTCTTTTCTTTATTCTGGATTGAGACTTCTTTTGTTCATTTCGAACTCTGTGCCTCGAGGTAAAACCTACTCAGATATCACAACAAACAAACGAACGAAATTTTCCTGCCCCAGTTTTTACTAGAAAAATTTCGTGAGTTATTGTAACAAAATTCTAAACTACTTCTTTATTGAAAGCAATAAAAAAAATGGGAATGGTGTACCCTGAAAAGGTCATAATTATTTTCTTTTATTGTTCCAAAAGAATGTCTCAACCAAGGATTGGTGTATGGAAAAATGTGGCCATGAAATGATATACCTTATATTGGCAATGATATCATGGAGTGGTGTACCCTGCGTTTAAAATCAAATCAACTAGGGAGTGGTGTACCTTATGTTGGAAAACACAACTAGGGATTGGTGTACCCTATACTGGTAAGGAGACTAGGAAGTGGTGACCCTAATTCGGAAAACACAACTAGGGAATGATGTACCATGATACTAGTAAGGAAATGTAACCAGGGGTTGGTACCCTGTATTACTGAAAAGGAAATGTAATTAGGGGATGGTACCATGTATTACTCAAAAGGAAATGTAACCAGGGGTTGACACCCTATATTACTGAAAAGGAAATATAACCAGGGGTTGGCGCCCTGTATTACTGAAAAACAAAATGTAACTAAGGGTTGGCTCCCTGTATTACTGAAAAGGAAATGTAACCAGGGGTTGACGCCCTGTATTACTGAAAAATAATGCTGAATCCCCTGGGCGAAAAGATTCTACCTTGGTTAAACTACGAAAAGCAAACCTGGGCGAAGAGTACTTCTACTCGGAAATACGAGTTGGATTCCCTTAGGCGAAAAGGTTCTACCTGGGTTAAGCTACGTAAAATAACATGAGCGAAGAGTACTTCTACCCCAAAACTATGAGCTGGATCCCCCTAGGTGAAAAGGTTCTACCTGGGTTAAGCTACGTAAAACAACCTGAGCGAAGAGTACTTCTACCCGAAACTATGTGCTGGATTCCCCTAGGCGAAAAGGTTCTACCTGGGTTAAACTACGTAAAGCAACTTGAGCGAAGAATATTTCTACCCGGAACTATGAGCTGGATCCCCCTAGGAAAAAGGGTTCTACCCGGGTTAAGCTACGTAAAACATCCCGGGCGAAGAGTACTTCTACCCGAAAATATGAGCTTGATCCCCCTAGGAAAAAAGGTTCTTCATGGGTTAAGCTACGAAAAACTACCTGGGCAAAGAGTACTTCTAGCCGGAAATATAAGTTGGATCCCCTAGGCGAAAAGGTTCTACCTAGGTTAAGTTACAAAAAATAACCTGGGCGAATAGTACTTCTACCCCGAACTGTGAGTTGGATCCCCCTAGGCGAAAAGGCTCTACCTGGGTTAAGCTACGTAAAACAACTTGAGCGAAGAGTATTTCTACCCGGAACTATGAGTTAGATCCCCCTAGGCGAAAATGTTCTAACCGGGTTAAGCTACGTAAAACATCCTGGGTGAAGAGTACTTCTACTCGGAATTATGAGCTAGATCCCCCTAGGCAAAAAGGTTCTACCTGGGTTAAGCTACGAAAAACTACCTGGGCGAAGAGTACTTCTAGCCGA